GGTGTGTGTGTGAGAGTGAAAAATAGAGAGAGCAAAGAGCCCTGGGGAGAGATGGCTTGCCTCCTACAGACCACCTCCCAGGGTCACAGCAGGAGGCAGATTAAGTTACAGCCAACCTCAGAGGGGGTCACACAAGACGTGCACACTCACACACATGCACACACACGCACACACACACACACACACACGCACACACACACACACACAGACATTCTTTCACTCTCAGAAACCTTCTCACAAAACGAAATATTACACAATACAATCTAATACCAAAATGATCTTATATTGCACTGTTTTCATTTGCTTTGATTCTTTTTGTTGGCTGTCATTTCTGCACCGTCGGGTGGAGCAGGCTAACCTGATCCTCCTCAGATCAGATCAGACTTAAGATCAATCGGTCGAGGCGGGGTTAAAGATCAATGCTGATCCGTTTGAGCCTTGAGGTGTCGAATCACGTAGCCCTACTTTGACCTGCATCAGCAGATTCCCAACCTCTAAATTACACACGCACACACAAAGACACACACTCACATCATACCTCATCAAAGTGCGGTGTCCTGATGCACAGGCCTGGGTTTGGGAAGGGGTCACAGGGGAATAGATGACGGGGGGTTGCTAAATAGGACACACACAAACCTCTCTTTCAGGACTCCTCTTCCTCCCTCACTTCCTCCTCCCTTCATCCTCACCCTCGTATATATCCTAACTGTGGCCCCTTTGGTCATCCCTGCTTTCCTCTCCTCTCTTTCTGTCTCTCTCGCCCGTTCAGCCGCTGTTTACTCTGTTAGAGAGAGAGAGAGGGCCCACAGGGGGGACAATGCCGTCTTTCAGAGAGACTGTCGACCCCACGGCTGAGCAAGGAAGTCTGCATGGGGGCCAGCCAACACCCCTTCCACAAACTTCACAGCCATCCGCCACCGAGATGCGCACACACACACACACACACACACACACACTAACCTATCACGCAGGCACACACACATACACACAGACCACACTTCAACCCTCTCTGTATCACTTTTTCTCTTGCCTGCCCTTTCTCTTTTGTCTCACATTTCCCACAAGCCCCCTCTCGGTGACCGTGGCCGTTTGGAGGATACCGTCGAGATCCCGTAACTTTAGTCCAAGAAACACAGTCTGTGAGTCACTTCCAAGCCAGTCGCTAATGTTTGTCCACTAAGACAGAATCATGAGGGTGGGCTGAGGTGAAATTCAGCATGGACTGAATCAGCAGGAGGTGCACTGGCAGACTCCACTGGAAATACATTAGTGCGGTACGGATCGCCTGGGGTGTCGTGGGTATTGTAGATATTAATGGCCTGCGGAGCTTCTCAGAAGTCCACGATCGTTTCAAGGGAATTTTTTTTTTTCATTTTTCGTTTCTTTCCAAAAAGTTATTTGAGAGTGAAGTCACACACACACGATGCAGCACAGAGTCAACCAAAATCGGAACACAGACCCCTTCCTTCTTATTCATCAGGGTTGTGTCGGAAGCTTTTTCCTTTTTCTTCACACACAATTGATCAGTCATATAAATAATAAATAATCAAATGTACACAAAACAAAGTAATCATCATCCCTTAATGAGGATTTCAAAGCTATTATTTACTGACACAAATTACGAGAGTAGTAAATTGGGGGGGGGGGGGGGGGCTTATATTTGAATGTTCTACATCAAATCTAGCCTTTAATCTTCACTTATTAACATGGAAGAAGGTTTTATACCCGTTATTTTTCCAATTAAATGCAACTTATTCAGCCATTTTCTGCCACATTTTTCATACCCCCTCCTGTCACTGTCTCTCTCACATTTGCAGTATGGGAGTTGCCGAGTTATTTTTGTTTCATGTGTATTTAATGATCAACAAATTCTTAAAATGTACCTTTCCCTTTATAATTTGTTCACTACAGCCATGTTGAAGTTAAATGTTTACTTCTTTTCCTTTAAACAGAAAAGCAAGTTTCATTTGTGAATAAGGATAAATTGCATGCTTAAATTGAAAAATCTGGCAGAATTCAGCTCATTTAAGCTCCCATTCACTCCCCTACAGCATGCAACAAGCTGAATGATAACAACACTATTATATATGGACTGGACACATTATGAGACTGGCTGTTGTTTGAGCAGTGAGATAACTATGGGGGCTCCATAAATAGGAAGAGATGAGCTATGCAGTCCATTATGGAGATAAAGTAATGGTTTGCACGTGGAGGAGCCGTCTGAGAGCAGCTTTTGTGTGCAGAGACCCCTTTAGTGTCTCTGCTGATCTCTCTGTGAGAGATGCAGGATCATGTGATTTGAGGTGCCAAATTGATTTATATTCCAGAGTTATATATGGATCCAAAAGTTCCATATCTGTTCCTCGGGCTTTATTGCACAGATTATAGAACTGATGGAAGGCCAGTTTTCTGTTTGGATGGATGAGAGAAGGATTGAAGCAAGGTTAAGCTGATTCCTGGTCTGTGCCTCGGGATGAAGGCTTTACTCGGTTAGAGTGGATGACAGGCGATTTTCTGCTATTTTAGACAAACAATAAAGCCAGAGACCTTGGCAGTCTGTGCAATGAGAGCTACAGTAAGTTAGACCAGAGGGGGAAAGAAGGGAGAGGAAGAGAGAAAAGAAATGTGGTATAAACCACAGCTCATATTATATCGACTCTGACTGATCTGAACAGGTTTATTTCACAGCTAATGACTTTAACCTCATAACAAACTCTCTATGGTCAAAAAGAACATTGAGCAAGTAACAGTATATACTCCTCCCTCCTTTATCATTACAAAGTTCACCCAGTTTAAAATAATCCATTCAGTGTTTCTAAAGATATTGATGTGGTTAGCAGTTTGAATGGGTACATTTAGTAATATGAAGGGAATCGGAACAGTTATTAGAAGATGAAGAAGAAGAAGAACATACTTTATTAATTCAGTGTTTTCACTCTGTTATTGAACATGATAAAGACACATAAGCCATGGATATACAAAAAATGAAATTTGAAACCCTCTAGTGGTGATGTGTTTGATTTTGTTACTGGAATATTTAAATAGTTGGAAATGTCTTCAGAAAAAGCAAATATCTCGGGGGGTTTTCCTGCTCTCTGTGTTTATTATAACTGACATTTTGGTGTTAAGTCATTTTATACTACACATCAAGAGGGGCCCGTGGGTCATGTGCTTCTCATTTCCGTCTCTAATCAGATAAAAAAAAAAACGATGGCTACTTGTCCCACAATGTTTTTTTTCTGTACATGTGAGGAGCATCAGTGGATATAAACGCATGGGGACAGAGAGATCTCTCTGATAATACCATAATGCTGCTCTGTGTACATGATCAAACAGTATGTTCCTCTGCTCCCGTCAGTACATGTGTGTATCATCATTTTATCTATGACTGACTGAGTCTGTACACCCCCAATACACCACCCCCTATATGTGTGTGTGTGTGTGTGTGTGTGTGTGTGTGTGTGTGTGTGTGAGCTGGTGGCCTTCCCTGGTAGGGCTGGTGAACCTGGTGACCTCTGTGCTCCGTGCCTCGCAGACACAAGAGCTTCTCATGTGGCCCCTGGCCAGTCGCTCTCAAAGCCTGCCATTCACCACCAACCACAGCTCCTATGAGTGTGTGTGGGTATGTGTGTGAGGGACAGGGAGGAAGGGTGAATTTGTTGAAATTACAGTTTGATTAATTACTTTAGTGTGTGTGTGTGTGTGTGTGTGTGTGTGTGTGTGTGTGGGTACATGCACACTGGGAGCTTTTCCACATGAACTGGAGAGATATATAGGACACCATGCAACTGTGTGTGTGTGTGTTTAGATGGAAAATGCTTTGAGGAAATGTGCGTGGTGAGAAGGTGCAGTGAACCCTAACACATTGTGTTGAATGGAGAGCTTGGCTGTAAACCAGCAGTACAGTACTAGCACTGCCTGTATGTGTGAAGCAGTACCTGCTGGATGAAGAACAATAGTCTCAAACCTTATTGACACACTCGCTTTAGGGGTCTGACTTGAGGGAAAGTGTTTACTTCAAAAAAGTTCATTTCTAAAGGAGGTTTTGTCACTTTTATCAACCTGTTATGTTTGTTTCTGATGCTGCAAGCATGATTTGACGATACCTGCAACTAACAGGGTTCTTCCGGGTGTTTGGCTCTGTAGTTTTTTGCTAAATGACTCTGAATATTATTATTGGACTGAAGCAAAATGAACAACCCTGCTTTTCAAATGCAAGGAGTGAAAATAAATGTGTATGAGAATGTTGAGAATAAAAGTAAGTAAATGCCGAGTACAGTACAGAAAACTGTATTTTTATTTCCTTGCTTCCCACATTTACTTGTGTCAGTCCGGTGGCAGAGAAAAGCTACAACTGGAACTGAAAATGACAGCTAGATGAAGCATCCTGCCCACAGCCCTCAGGCGGGGTCCAGAGGTCAGTGTGTTTGGAGGAAGGAGGAGGTGGTTGCAGCGATGCAGCTGGACTGACAGGCCTGGGGGGCTGCCGGTGGGGTCTCAAAGGTCCATGGGGTCTGAAGGTGCACACTGTGATGGGGGGGGGGAGGTGATGTGACTGGCCGAGGGTTGGGGTGAAGCGGGGCTGGTGGAGAAGGTGACCATATGGATTGGATTGTAGACATTCCTCAAGAAGAGTGTGTGTGCAAAGGTCAACATGGGGAAAGAGGAGGGGTCACACAGATCTCTGTGTGTGTGTGTGTGTGTGTGTGTGTGTGTGTGTGTTTATTTTTCTTTGGCTTACTCAGTGTTTCAGTTTACGACTATGTCTGTTTGGTCATTGTTGGGTTGAGTATTTCTTACCCAGTGGTATTGTGGAATGTGAGAAACTTTCAACAACGTTCACGTGAAAAATGTTGCAGGTGTGAGAATCTGTCTGCAGTTTGTCACTTTTTCACACTTGAATTGAACATTTTATTTCTAAATGTTGTCGTATGAAAACCAGGCTTTCCTTTCGAGGCCCCTCTCGGCTTAACTCCGCCCCTCTGTTTGTGTTTGTGCAGGTGGGAGGTCGGCGGGTTGCGGTCATGCTGTCCCTGGACGAGCCCCTGGACCTGAAGCTCCCTCGGCGGGCCAACGGGCGGGACAAGGGGGCGCGTTCGCCCCTGCTTTCTCCGCTGCACCCCAAGCGAGCTCGCCAGCTACGCATGGCGGATGATGGCACGGCAGTCATAGAGCCCGCCTCGCCAGCATCTCCACGCACAGGTACGTAACATAGCAAGACTCTGTTAGGCTGCATTTAAGCACAGTGGCGGTTAGAGAGAATTGAACACAACGATGTGATGACACAGCAAAATGTAGTGCAGCAGGTGTAATATAAATCAATGTTTACTCCAAAACAGGTTATGAATATATTTGGCAGACAAAAAAGAAATGCCTGACTAAAGTCACCAAAGATCATCCTCTGAGGAACGATTGTCTGTACATATTTCCAGGCAATACATTATTTTCTTGACAAAATAGGATACAGTGAGACCAGCGCCCCCGCATCAGATCAGTCTGGTAGTTCGTCTCCCTGACAGATGTTTATGTGTGTGTGTTTGTTTCTCAGGTGTGCAGGTGGTCCCTCATGACCGAACAGACACCCCCACCCCTCCTGCGGTGGACCTGAGCATGTCTCCCTCCTCTCGCCACACCCCCAGCTCTCCAGAAATGACAAACGGCAACTATGTCTCCTCAGGGGTGAGCTATACCGAGATTGAACACACACACACATCGCACACACCTACACACCAGCACGGTGGTTCACAGCGTGGTAGCGTTTACCTGATTTTATGTTGCTAACCATTCCCTTTACTTTATGTCTTTTTCTGTCTCATATTTAGTCTTTATTTACCTCTAAGAAAAACAGTCTTTCATGACTGAGTGGCCAACTCTTTCCTGTCTTTAGCAGAGAGTGACTCAACCTGCTGAGGTCAGCAAATCAGGAACAACATGGGGTTGTGTCAAACTCTCCATAAGGGAATCAGGCTTTGCACGGGGTGGGAGGTTTCTGTGTGTGTGTGTGAGGGGGGGGGGACTCTTATCAAACACCTCTTGTGTCCCAAACAAGTACCTCTGTCTGCACTCAGTGGCCTCGCAGGCATGACGTGTGTGTGCCTGCAAATGTGCATGTGTGTGAGTGTTTGGTACATGTATAATCAGATTTCAGTCAAGGTACAGCCATGCAGACCTCACGCCGCCTAATTCAATTCGCTACCAATTGAATAAAGAGACACTGGCTGGGATCATTTAGCCCACAACTAAGTCCTAGATAGCCCCTGACCCCGCCATGACACACACTGCTATACACAGTGGATGCACACACAAAAGTAAGTGTTTGGAAGAACAGCTGCACACACTCACATGTTCTCTCCCGTACAGCATCTCACAAAGCAGCTCACATAGTTCTGCATGCAGAGGCAGAGCCAAGTGCAGGGGATTGGTCTCGTTTTATGAAATTTCTCAGATACACATTTCTAACATAGCTGAGGAAGACGAGACAGCCCCATTATTGTGATCCAATCCTTATTCTCTTTCTCTGTGCCTTCATAAGCCCGTAAGGCAGCTCACTCTTATGGGTCACTTTATATTTAAATGCTACTTTTCATCATAACGCTCCTCTGTTTTCAGCACGAGCTAAGTTGCAATAAAAAGTGTGTGTTTGAGTAAAGGTGTGAGCCAGTGCATAATTCCTCTGAGCCCCAGCAGTGGTTCAGTGGATCTTACAGCTCTCATGTCGAGCTCAGGGCTGTAGGGAGGTTTGTAGCACACAGCAGGAGGCTACATGACAAAAAGTGAAGTGGATTTTTTTTTTTTAAAGAAAGATGAGATCAGCAATTCTGTACAGCATTGACAAAGACGTTTGTGTCTATACTTCCAGCTTCACAGATGATTTAATTGTTAAAAAGACTTAGAATGCACCCACTAGGCTGTTCAGGTATACTGTATTTTCTTGCAGAACGACAAACCCAAATGAACCAAAGCAAAGGTTGTGCATGTGTCTTTCATTTCTGTGCATTGGATGAATAACCCTGTTGCCTCATTGTCTGTTTTTGTTTTGGGTGATCAGAATTCTCACATCTCACAGGCCTTTCAGTTTTTCGTGCCAATCGGAGCAGGGGCAGGACTTCACCTGCCATCCTCCATGTTCATTGGCCAGACAAGCGACAAGAGAGCCTCTCCTGACCTCTCAGCAGATGAACAACTGGCCTGCCACTGGAAGAAGGTAAGACCCCGGAAGTAAAAGAAACTCATTTATGACCCTGTTGCAGTCAATTCTGGATTGGAGCAGAACAGCTTTATTGTCTCAAAGATACATTTTACATAATGTTTTCCTTCCTCTAGTGCCATCTGCTTTTCGACTCCCTGCAAGACCTGGTGGATCATGTCAACGACTTCCATGTGAAACCTGAAAAGGATTCTGGGTACTGCTGTCATTGGGAGGGCTGTGCTCGCAAAGGGAGGGGATTCAATGCTAGGTAGGAAAATCCTCTGCTTTGGTGATTTATGAAGTGCACGTTTAAGGGGAGAATTTAAAAGGAACTCACCGTAATGTTTGGATTTTTGTGGGGCTGCAGGTACAAGATGCTCATCCACATCCGCACCCACACTAACGAGAAGCCTCACCGCTGTCCCACCTGCAACAAGAGCTTCTCACGCCTGGAGAACCTCAAGATACACAACAGATCACACACAGGTCAGTGGTGGATATTTGTTTGCTTTTAAAATAAGAATTATTTTGAGCCTATGCAATGTTCTTAATATTAGTCCGGCCAAATTCAAATATAGCCTACCCTTGTTATGCCATGTGCAACACACGGAGGCAGCATGGCGGTGCAAAGTCATTCAGACCCTGAGCCGCCATCAGAGTTAGTAACAGAGGAGTAATGGGGGGAAGAAGGTGGCGATGTGTAACATTGCAGACGGCAGGTCATATCAGTACGTGTGTGTGTGTGTGTGTGTGGTCATGTCTGAGTGTATGTATGTTCACACTCGGTCTGCCACTCTGACTGACACAGCTCCCGCGGTGAGTCTCACGCTTCCACGACACCGAAATGCAATGTGAAACCACAAACTGGGTGACCAATTTTTGCTGTATAGATGCAATGAGTGCATCCAAATGCCTAATGGCAGTGGAACCTTGTTACAGTGCCGTTGTGGAATTGCAATCTGTGAAGGGCTACAGACATTACAGGAAAGTGTGGAGGCAGGGGGGGAAGAGGCAGCTGAGGAATAAAGGAGATGTGTCCAAAAAGAGCATTTGTTTTGGTCTGAAAATCTATTCTGAAAGTTCCATATAAAGGCTTTAAAAAGAAATGGATTTTCAATCTAAGCTACTTACATTTTCCCAATTTAAGAAAAAATTGCATACTTTTTCCTCTCTGCAGGTGAGAAGCCCTACATTTGTCCTTATGAGGGATGCAACAAGCGGTACTCCAACTCCAGCGACCGCTTCAAGCACACACGCACGCACTACGTGGACAAGCCCTACTACTGCAAGATGGTTGGCTGCCTGAAGCGCTACACAGACCCCAGCTCTCTCCGCAAGCACATCAAGGCCCATGGGCACTTTGTGGCTCAGGAGCAGGGCTCCCCAGGCGGGGTGGGCTCTCTGCTCAGAGGTAGCCAGAGTGGAGGGCTTGCCAGCGATGTGGGGAAGGAATCAGACCTGTCCTACGTCAGCGCAGCACACATTATCATCCCAGGTGCGGCTCTCCTTGGAGGCCATGCTCTGCAGGGTTTTGGTGGTGGCCTGCCAATGTCCCCGATAAGTCCTCGGCCCCTGGACCTTAGCACACTGGGCTGCCCCAGCTCACCTCAAGGCGGCCTGGGGGGCACATCCATCCTGTCCTTTAACGGCTCTCATCTGGGCCTGGCCAAGTCCTCTCTGCTCTCCTCTGCATTCCCCTCCTCTGCCCTCGGCCTGTCCATGGTGCCAATGCTGGGGGCCTCATCTGAGCGCAGGGCCCAAGGTCAGCAAGGGAAGAAGGGCCGGGGTGAGGAGGCCAGGAACGAGGTGACTGGGGGGGTCCTGAACCTATCCACAGGAGGAGCTCATGATCCCCTGTCCTGGGTGGTCATCCCTCCAGGCACCGTGGTGCTCAAGCCAGCTGTGGTCAACTGATTCACACACACACACACACACACACACACACACACACACACACACACACACACACACACACACACACACACACACACACACACACACACACACACACACACACACACACACACACACACACACACACATTCCAGAGGAGCTCAGGGGGTTGGGATGGGAGGGTGAACGACATAGTGGGGGTACAGGCGGTCAAAGGTGAGAAGGATCAGCTCGCACAATCAAATCCAGACAATGCATTTCAGAGAGGGGTTGGAAAAGGGGAAATCTAGAGAAACTTAATAGCAAAACAATAGCTAACACTACACCTCACAAGGACTAAGTATACAACGCAAGCCTCTTGTTTAATGGGAAACAAAACTTGGGGCCCAAGAAAATATGGTTCTGTATTTCTATCACAAGGCCTGACAACGGGCTCCTCTTGTATTTTGTACTTTATTCATTCCTTTCTGCTGCTTCTGTGGACAGGGACCATGAAAGTCTTATTGCTCTGTGTTCTTACAAAAGTCCGGATTCATTGATAAGTATTTATATGACATATGTTCCTCATGACAGTGCGCATGTAGCTTAGCTGTGAGAAAGAAACACCATGAAACTAAATGACGCTCTCACGTTAGGCTAAGACGCACGTAATAGGAAGATTCTCCATGCTTGATTTTAAAGTTATGACCTATTTTTCACAGGCTGCTGTGATTAATATGATTCAGACAGGCTTGCCATACCAAAGCAAGTGAACTCAAACTGTCTTGGATTTTCAGCTCTGAGACAGTTCCATTAAACACAGCACTTAATAGTGTCAACTGGTTTATAGTATTGAAACCTCAACTGCTGCTAACCTCTCAGCTCCCCCAGTGTATCATTAACTGGGAATGAGCACTTTTGACAATCTGTCCCCAGTTTGGGGAGGGTGACCAACAAGAATGTGTGCCGGGCTCGCAGACTAGGGGCTTTTTGGGCACAGAGCAAACAGAGGACTTCACACAGACAAATGGTGTTCTATCACCTGACTATGACCAATCATCACTTCCTCTTTTACTCAAGCGAAATGTAAGGCACAAGTGCATCTGGCTCCCCCTTCTGGCTGGACACGATACACAACATCCTGCTTGCCATCTACAGAACTTGCACTGTTTCACTTTTGGATTGTCCAGCTGCTTTCCCGTAATTGAATCAACACAGCCAGTTTGAGCATGAAAGGGCCACTGTGGGGATTAACACTAGTGTGTTGTGTCTTTAAAAAAAGTGACCTGACCCAAAACCAGCTGTGAAAAACAGGTGGTCATCCAGTTGAATCCCAACTTAGCCATGTGGGCTGAAGTTTTGCCCCAAGTTCAACATGTCCCATGCAGAGCATAAAATACCTGGAGAGGGGAAAGGGGGATGTACTTGTCTTGCCACAGAAGGGGTGATGATGCACTTAAAGCCACATGCAGCTGGACTGACTAGGAAGCCACACTATTCCAAACTGCCTCATTTTACTCTGTCCAAAGGGGCAAAAAGGACAAAAAGAAAAGACTAATTAGACTTCTGGGAAAACTCGTATCATGGTTCGATTAAGCAGTCAACATGCACTTACCACACACTTTAATCCTTACATTTTTTACACAATGTTACTGCCAATTCATTGTTCTGTCATTTTAAAAAAAACTTTTCTTCTTAAGTCTGCTGCCGGGGTCCCTCCAGGCTTGTGTTGCTAAACACTAATGCATGCATGATGTTGACTGCACAGAGGAGAAGTCAGGGAGCAGGAGAGGGTAATCGCAACACAAGGAACATTCCCTCAAGAAACTGTAACACTGACTACCCTCCTCTCTCTTCTTTTGCCTCCATCTCTCCTCTACCCATCTGCCAATGTTGAGGTCCTACTTTTCCATCACCGAGTCTTACCCCGTCTTAGAAATAATCAGTTATTGCTGTTTTATATTGTTGTTCTGATTTGTATTTTTATTGCTGTTGTTCAGACGAGACATTTTTTTTTTTTTGCTGATGTTGAAGTTGCTTCTTGTGTTCTGAGACGACTGCTCGACACTCAGCTTTCTGCTGTTCACGATGAGTCTCTAAAAAGATGCTTGAGGAGAGGACGGCGAGGGAGAAGTTTTGGTGGTTCTCTAGGGCAGTGGTTTCCAAACTTGGGTGTATGGGAATAATTTGGATTTAAAGTTAACTTAACAAATCCTGTCAGAGGACAGGCAAAAAAGAAAGGGAAAACTATTAAAAACAATATCAGTAAATATCTAGAAAACAGTGAATCAACTGGCAGGGTAACAAGGGAGTGTGAAACCGGTGTTGATTGATGACATAATGAAGGGCAGGTGTGTGATGATCAAGGAATCAGAAGGAAGGCAGGTACTAAACCACAGGAGATGTTACTGCTTCAAAAACTAAAATAATGTTCAAATATTAACACATCCACAGTGCCAAGTAGTTGAACTGTAATGACTTTTCATATCTATTCACAGCAGCACCATGAGGTTGGCTTTGTACAACTTACATTAATGTTCCTCTCAGGACGCATTGTTACAGCGTTAGTGATCCCTTCAACATTTTATATGGCACCATCATCGGGTGAGAAATTGAACTTTTCCTACATTTTCATCACCAAACAACTGGAAAAAAGTTTGACATTCCCATCAACCTCAAATTTTCACAGAGTACATTCCAATTAGCAGAGATCTCAGTGCTAGTAGTATAAATTTAAATGTTCAACAAAGTAAACGCTACCTGACAACCATCAGCTGGTTACACTGTCACTTTGAACTCTTCTTAAAGAGCCTCACAGCTCTACCAGCGTGCCTGTAGACTCTTAAAATGAAACAATGTAAGAGGGGAAAAAATACTTATTCGATTAATTGCTGGCAACAGTATTTGAAAACTATGGCCATTAATGTGGATTTCAGGTCAAAAGTACAGTACAGTCGACATTATTTAACAGTGCTTTGTTTTTAGGCATTGTAAACCAAACGGTTGGGAACCACTGCGCTAGGGTACTGAGAGGACTGATTGATATTCCATTCTTACATGACAATCACATTAGTGCACTGAAGGTCATTTAGAGAGGATGTGTTCATATAAGATACACGTCTGTTTAAGGTGTCATTACCAAAATATCTTGAGGCAAAAAAGATTTTGAGCTACCTTTGTCGACTCTAAATTCTTCAGTCAAGTAAAGCAAAACCAGAGACGAATAACACAGACTGTAAGAGGTTGATAACATGGAGAGACAGGATTGCCTGAATGATGATGAGAAAGAGGCTTTGTGCCAGCAGAGGAAAAGAGGCAGAGGAGAGGAGAGGAGAGCTGTGCGGCTGCAGTCCCATCTGCCAAACGGTGTCTCAGCTCTGAAGTCACTGGCTGTGCTGCGTCCAATGTGGCAGCCAGTCACAGGCATACCAGCCTGAGGAAAACTAGGCCACTGAACTCTGTCTGCCCTCTGGGTTTATTTTTCCCTCTTTTTTTAAAGATTAAACCCAAAAGGCTCAACTCCCCCCCACCAGAGACTCAGCAAACAGACGAGTTAACAAGCTGCATCACAGTCAACAAAAACAACACCCCCCCCCATGTCAGAGGAGGAGCTCTGTGTCAGTCTGTCCATATGATTCACATAAGAGATGAACTGCATATATATGTTTCTGCCTCAGTAACTCTTAGTCATCATCATTATCTAAACACTCCCCCACCCATCATACACACCACCAGCCATGTCTCTGGGTTCAGTCTGGGTATCGGAGACCATATCTCGTTCTGAGTGGACCATTCTGGTCTGTGATGTCATCAGAAACAGGTGTTAAGTAGGCTAGACATGGTTTCCGTGGCAACAGTGAAACCCACAGATGCAGCGGCTCTCCTCCTCCTCCCTGCCTGTCTATCTGTCCCTCTGCAGGTTGAAGCCAGGGACAAAACTCAGTACGACAGCAGAAAGCTGAAAAATATGACACGGATCCTTCCAGGGTCCACAACATTTCCATATTAAATAAGCTGTATGATCCATTAACCCTTTGAGCTCAGTCTGTAAAAAACTGCACTTTTGTTCCCCTCATAGTTTATGTAGATATGCGGATGCTACCAAGTCCTCACTCAATGTAAAGCGTTACACATCAGTTGTTTTGGGAACCAAGAATAATTGTTAAAATCATCTTCAGCTACTAAAATTGCTGAATTGAAAGTCTTATATTTTTGAACTTGTAAAACTGGTACTTGCTCATGGAGATTTTAAAAGTTACCCTAACTTAACACTATGAAAAGTGGAGCTGAAATCCAGGGCACAGAATTTGCGTTAGCTAGCTATTTCTTGTCAATGTAAAGGGTGCCATTGACTGAAGTGCCACAGTGTTGCACAAAGGGTTAATGATAAGACTAAGGCCATGCGAGGCCTGTTCCAAGTTATGTTTTTTGCACATTTGTGAGATATTATTGTCAGTATTTTAATTTTTCCAAGTGCCTTTTTACTATAGGGTAAAATATAGAAGCTATACACTATATGAATAAAAAATGATTATATGAAAATATATTTTTTCCTGGCATCATGTTCTGTGGTTGAACATGCAGAATTTTAGAGTTGTAAAAGTCTCCAATTGGTACAACATAGCGGTGTTCTCCTGTTTTAGAGGAATTTTATTACGATATTGATAATAATGTCAATGAAAAGAAAAATGTTTAATAAAGTTGTATTTGATAAAAACTTGTGTTTTCATCTGTTTGAAACGTACAATGCAGACACATAAATGTGGAAATAACCCCAAACATAAACAATACATGTGTTTGTGATCCTTTTAGACAGACATGTGCACAACTGATGCGGCCAAAGAGCTTAACCTGAATAAAAACAATTATATGAGCATTAATAATAGTCAAACAGCTGCAGCTTCACTCACTGGGAAGTGTTTCAGGTGTTTAAATCTACAGGAGTTGGAAACAGCAACATAAATTAATTTTCTGCCTTTTTTGAACAGACAAAGTCAAACAGAGAGGAAATATTGAGAGTGAGGGGTGATGTGCACAAAAAGGTCGCTGTTGGGAGTCAAAGCAGTGATCGTCAGTGAGTGGAGGACTGTAGCCTTTGTATATGAGGCGTCTGCTCTATCAGCACCGTCATGGTGACTTTAATTCAACTATTTCTTCATGGATTGACATAATTCAAAAGAATGCACAACATTTCATGTGGCCATATCTTAATGACTATTATTCATGTTTTAACGTCACAACCAATGTTCAAAAAGGCCACCAATTGGAGACTAGAGAACAGAAAAAAGGCTTTTATTAGGTTATAATTTACAGAGGATGGGGAGAGGAAAGACAGGGTGAGCATCATTTCATGTTTCATGTTTCTGTATTTCTTTCTGGTGGCTGCTTATCTTGTGTCTGGATACTTAATTCCTCGTCTAGACGCTCTTTAGCTCGCACCACCTGCACACGAACACACATAGAATATTAAAACAACATTAGTGATAGCTGAGGGTGAAGAAAGACACTTGGGGATATAGAGTATGGCATTATGGTTCTTAAGAGCAGAAATGAAAGGATGATGGATTCAATCAGTGAGAACAATCATTTCTAACATGATTCAGATCACAGAGTGGATTCCCTCCAACACACTGGAAATCACATGAGGGATAATTTGATATTTAACACAGACACTCAAAATGTACATTGTTTGCATGTTATAAGCAAAACAAATAAAGTGATGAGTATCACTGTTCCCTGCTGCAAATACTCAAGTTTTAGGCATTTTACATGAACCATGCTGTGCTACTAACAATGAATCCTTGAGCATGTAAACACTGCGAGGGAACAGAGGATTCAAAGAGACTTCAAACAGTTACACAGGAGACTCAGTAGATATGTGAAGGTCATTATGCTATTCTGTTCTATTCTAAAAGATGAGGAACAAGTTGTCTTAACTGTTGACTCTCACATTAATCAATCGAAATCAGGTGAATTGCACAGTACTGTGTGTCTACACATACAGGAAATTCCACTTTGTGTTTTGGTGCAAAACAATAAATATAGAAGTACAACAAAGAACCAAGTGCTAAAAGACAGCAGTACTCAATATAGTACAGCAATATAAAGTAAAATATGAAGACACAAAATGTATAAAATGTACAATGCAGGAGAAGTTGTGCTGATTAAGGTTGAGTGCAAATATCTTTAAATATAAAATGACACACAGTGTGCAGTGTAAACAGTACACACACATTGAAAGTTGTGTTGAAAGAACAGAGTACTCACTTTTGATTGCAGGTAAAATGAACCGCCCACGGACTTGTCATTGACTTTAAAAAGGTGTTCGTAGTTCTGCAAGAGATTGAACAGTTCAGTTTAATTGTTCAAGCACAACATCTGGACTTACTGACACATCTGATCATTGTGAGCGTTTGCTGCAGATACCAAGATGCATGGGTAATATCCAAGTTTGAATCTGTCTCCAGGATTACATGATGCACACACACCACACATTCCAATCTGCACATTGCCCTTTTGACACCCTGGACACTTTACACACTGACACTTTACACTGTTTACATTATTCTATATTCAAATATTTCTTTTTTAAATTTTACATTATATTTCTATTTTACTGTATTTATGTGTATTAGTAATTTGAGTGTTATTGCATGGCCTTGTGGAACAGTCTTTACATTTCACTGCACATCTGTATGAGCATGTGACAAATAAAAATCTTGAATCTTGAAGGCTGGGATGAATGACTTCACAGTGAGTGGAGTTCAGAAGATAACCAGAACTAAAGTTTGCACTTGTGCGAGAGGCATGTTATGGATAACTGCAGCACATGTTAACGAAAGCGAAAAAATCCTGACAATAGTAATCAGATATTAAAGCTGGTGAGAAACATCTGGACAGACAACATATCACAGAGGTGCTGCAATACAAACCCTTTGTCCAGAACAAAAGTGTGTTTTACCTTCTGGATTTCTTCGGGACTAAGTGTAGAGATGTTGAGGATTTGCTGTGCCTCCTGCAGGCTCATCCCAGTGATGCTAGAGGCAGCAGCCGACTGCTGACCTGAACGGCCCCTGGCCTTTGCTGCTGCTTGACTAGCTGTAAGACAAAACACAACACACACATGTTTAAAGCTTCATCTCCTCATATAATATCAAAGATTGTGGAAGCAAAACTATTTTTTACATACAACAGATCCAGATGATACTATCAGCAATCGAATGGCACATTCTCTGGAGGATATGATCTTATCATATTTTTGTATAATTGTGCAATTCAGAGCAGGTAATGATTAAATGATGAATGTATTGACAGATTGATTTGACACAACAATTGATCATTCATGCATGTTTCATACAGTCAACATATTATTATTTACACTGAAACTGGAAAATATCTGAATCGACAACATGAAACAGATACGCCTGGTCTAAAACTAAATGGATGTATTAGTGAGTTGTCTCTGCGGGCACTCTGAGTGGATATTAAATACCTATCAGGGACACTTTAAAGGATCATACCTGCATATTCCTGCTGTAAAGCACGAGCAAAGGCACGGCCCACCACCTGTGCTCCCATCACGATGATCTGTGCGAGATATCGAGCCTGCAGAGGAAAAGACAGAATACAACCATCAGATGTGTTAGTTAATAATAACCAAAAGGAGGAGGGAGGATGTGTCCCTCTACATAACCCTAACCCTAACCCTAACCCAGTAATGACACAACTCATGTCAGACAGGTGAGTCTGCAGGATGTGAAGTCTCTTCATTACAGCTGTTTCCATACACTCTCCAGCCTTCTTGGACATACATTAGCTTGTGGTAAAATGGCATTTTCTCTTATTAAAGTCAACCTTTTTCTACTGAAGAGGAGACTTTATGTAACGTGTTGGTACAAAAACAAAAGCTAAGGTCTCATGCTAATGCTACACAGCAACAACCCTCTCACTGGTTAACTTCAGCGTTGTCTCTGGAAATAAAAACACCATCATGACAAAGCGTTAACTTACCATTGTTTTTAAATTAAACAGCTCCTCCGTACAGGGTGTTCCGTATATTTTCACACATGTACATGAAGGTTACTTATGGGTCAAAGTTCAATGAAATCAACGATATTCAAGATAAACCAGGTGGACGGTGAAATGTTTGATTACGCCCCCTGCTGGCAGGGAGGTCTGACTGCACTTATCACGTTTTACCTGCGCGTTTAGTTAAAACGTTGTTTTAAGCTGTGAGCAAACCTCTACCAAGATAAGAAAAAAGAAACATTCATTTTATTGTGAGGTAACCGGATAGGTAAACATAAGAGGAAACATATTCTGGAATAAATATGGATATATGCTGTTTGAGGTTTAAATGATGTGCTTCTGTTTACATATGGATCCTTGTTTGTTTCTATTGTTTTTGTTTATTTACTATACTTTCAAATGTATCTTTATTTTTATTGAACCTTTATTTAGCCACGTTAGTCCCATTGAGACCGTAGACGTAGAAATCATTTTCAAAGGAGACCCGGTCAAGAAGAGCAGCAACTCACACTTTCAACAACAAAAACTCTAAATCATACCGTACATGAAAACCTAAAATTGGAGCACAAATGACAAGTGACTTTTTTGATATGTCAACGTCAATGTGTATTTATTTAATGTCCATCTTTCGTTCCTTGTCAGATGGTAAAAAGGTAATAAGCAATAAGATAAACATAAACAATAACATGCACATGTGTTGTTTTAATCTCTTCCTTATAGGATATATTTCAGAAACATAGAAATGCATCTTTTTAAATTAATTGTGCATTAATTAATCTTTGCACACGCCCTTGTTATACTGTAGGCCAACATAGTTTCCAAAGAGCACCATAATGTAACATCAGGAAGTGGAACTACTGTACTCCAATGAAGAGGGGACAAGTATATAAATGGTTTCAAAAGTTGTTTATTGAAAGACAATACTGAGAAAAATCCACAAACCATTACTCATGTAGGACAGAAAAAAAAGAAACGCTTTATTCACTGTATAAAAAGGGAGTTTTTTTTGTAACACATTGGAAGACGAGCTAATCAGTCCCATATATTACAAAAGAAGGGTGTTCAAGATTAACAAGCAAATACAGTATTCATCACAAAACACAGACGACACCTGCGGTTCATGTGTTCTACCCGATGTGCAAAAGCAAACATGGCTGACTCAATGGTTCATGTCAGAGATTGTAAACTAACTTCAAGTCTGGATTATTGACAAGAACACTAAAAACCCTGATTGGAAATTACATGATGGCTGTGACGTAGGATATTAATACTGCACTGTGATTTTAGTCATGGTTACTTACTCACTAGTAATTATCAGGTAAGAAAAATTAGCTCATTTAGGTGAGAAATATCTGTAAACTAACAAAGGTAATTATTCAAAGTTTAAATTCACCCCCCCCCCCCAAAAAAAAAAAGAAAAGAAAGGAAACAATCAGGTGTGAAGTACAAAGGCCCCTCTAAGAACTCCAAGAAGGAGGCGGTTTGGCTTTTAATGCATAACAAAAAAACATCTCATTTACCTCTATCCCTTACATTAAGACTACTATTAGACTACTTAATCATAACACATTCCTTAATCCAACTTGTACAAAAGCAGTTATACATAATCATGTTAAATTAGATTGTGTTATATCCTTGGCTAGCAAAGAAAAGAACGTCATGTTTTTGTTATAAGAAATTCCAGTTCATCGAAAAACATGAACACTGGTGACCCTGTTGTATCCTCAGTGTGGTTTTTGCTGTAAAAGGCTTGTGTGTGTGTGTGTGTGTGTGTGTGTGTGTGTGTGTGTGTGTGTGTGTGTGTGTGTGTGTGTGTGTGTGTGTGTGTGTGTGTGTGTGTGTGTGTGTGTGTGTGTGTGTGTGTGTCAGGAAGACATTTCTTTTCAGATGCATGGTGTTCAATGAGTAAATTAGCAGTGTCCCCCCCGTGTTACATCTTTTAAAGACACATTGTGAGTAAGCGTGCTCATATGATTGGCAAATAGAAAAACAAAGTAAGCAGTGGTCCACTGTGGAGGTAAGTGTGCACACAGATAACAACTTTGTATGCAGTGGTTGACAACCTGGTATCTTGAGATAAAAAATAACAGACTTGGGAGCAAGTGGAATGCATTAACACCTCGGAGTGTATTATCATGCTTACACCAAGGCCACCATCCACATATAGAAGTAGAAAAAGAAGATAAGATTTCATTATTCTTTTAGGTGAGTGTAACTGCTGATGTAGCATAAACCAGAAGTATTATTGCTATGACTGTTTCATTCACCTTGCACCTGAAAGAGGCTTTACCTGTAATACATGACTGTGTTCATATTTCCTACATCTATACTTTTGTGTTTTTTTACATAATTTTGCAGTCTACAATGTTAAATGAATCCCAGATTGATTTCTGTTATTTTTGAGAATTACAGTTTAAAGTAATACGAGATTAAATTTCATGCAGTCACGTTAAAAGTTAAACACCACTGAGACAACAGGACATTTCAACTTCCAAACCGTAACAGATATTTTTGACACATACCCATATCGAGAGGTGTTACACTTTTAGTGATTTGTTTTCCCCAGTATCATTTATATGTTTACATCCTACAGTATTCATTGTGCGTGCAGAGGATGTTTTGATTGGCACCCTCACTGACACAGACGATAGCGGAACCTGACGTTTGATTTGTTGTCTGCTCTCCACTGTTGGCACCGAGATTAAACCAAAGGCAAGAAGGCGTCCTCTTTAGTCATCCTGCAGGACGCAACAGTCACAGTTAGCTCAAGGGACTATAGACATGTTTGAAATTAGCATAACTTCTGGGGTCCTTAGGGTCTCTGTGTATTACTCAAAACCATTTTTAGAAATGTGCAGAAAAATGTATGGTTCCAAATCTGGTAAAGTCTAAAGTATGTATTTTTGTTTTCATGAAGTAGAGAGTACACTAAAAACTTTATTTAAAAATCACATGTAATCACATAAACAGTTTAATCTGGCAGCAGATTTTTCTCTCCACATCCGTTTCCATCACATTCACTCACCCACTCATCCTCGTCCACCCCCTCAAAGGATTCCTGTGGCAGCGGGTCGTCCATGTTGCCCAGCTTAGCCACCATGGCACTGAGCAGCTGTGGAACATACACACATATTCAGTGTTATATCAGGCAAACATAGTTATTTTAATTTAGAGTTTCCTGGATGATAAAAGTTGAACAGTGCTGCAGCTCCTCCTCACCTCGTCTTTCTTCTGCTCGTCAGTCTTCTCCTCCAGGTAAACAGAGGAGGGAAGGTATTTTCTGACTGGAGCCTCTTTAGGTGCCTCACTCACTGAAGCGACAAGAAAAACACCACAGCAATAAAAAAAGAGAAAAATACAAAAACATAATTGTTACTGAGTTGGTTGTGTTGTCATCTGTGTCTGCACCTGGCGTCATGTCTTTCGGCTTGAGGCTCATCTTCCTGTGTTTGCCGTTGATGCCTGACAGCCAGGCGGAGGCAGACAGAGCGGGCTCCCAACTCACGGCTGTGTCTGGGAACAAGTCATCCTGGAAAAACTCTTTCTGGATACCCAGAGACACACACAAGAAAGTTATCCAATATACAGTCATCTATTTGACAGAATAATAAGAAGGAAGGTATGAAGTGTTCATTTGTGCCCACTAGGTGGTGCAGTCAGCTCACCTTGACACGTGGCACCCTGAAGGCCACAGGCTCTATGGTTGATTTGGTGAGCATTAGTCCTACAGCGATCTCCACATCACGCACATTGCACTCCGTCTTGGGAAGAAAGCCCAAGCCCTGCAGACAGAACACAAACAGGAAGTGATTCACAAAGATGGCACAGCTTTCAAAGAAAACTGCTCTAGCTTTTTCATTTGTGTGCATGATGTGTATAGTGAATTATTCATTTCAATATGAAAACTCAATGGAAAAGCTCAGCACAGTACCTTATGTGGCTCAGGAGAGTTGAAGCTGCTGCAGTCCATGAAGTATGGACTTTCAGGGACAACCTCATAAATGTGAACTCTGGTATCACCCTACAAAACAAATGACACACACATTAAGATTTGCTTTCATTTTGCCTCTCAGCTTTTGTTCAAACAAAACTTCTGCAACTGTACTGAGTGCTGATCAAGTGCTCTGAATCGATTTTCAGCTCTGTATGTCTTCTGTCTTATAATCAAAAAACAAAACCATGCAACAATGTTATTTAGGCCATACTTTTACGAGCATAAGAAACATTTAAATATATCTGTTCCTTTCATGTTTTCAAGTAGTATATATGCCTTACTTTTCCGGTGAGGATGACCACACTGGTGTCCGGGTCGTAGAAAGGGATGAGTGTAGAGGGGGAGACGTCTATAGAAGTGGTGGCTAAGGCTCCAGATGACAGGGAGTCAGGGGAGTACAGGTAGAGTCCTCTCTCACTGCGGCTGCAGAAATATGAGAAGAAAGAGTCAGCTAGGAGACTGACTAAGTGCTGCTCTGATACCACTGACTCTGCTCCATACATGATTCAGGTGTTTCTCTGCTTAAGTACACTTTAATGAGTCGTCGCCGTGTTCAGTACCTGTCAAATCCTGACACCAACAGGTACTTGCCCTCACACACCCACACAACACGAGCTCCCCTGTGGCCCTCGGGACCCGGGCCCTCCTAGAAAACAGAGAAGAGCAAGTGTGTGTGAGACTGAATTTTACACTTAGTTCATGAACTAAAAAAGGACTTACATTTTTGTGAACACTAATTCATAGCTTCCTGTTGAAACTAATTTTTTTTTAAATCTTAACTCTCATAGTTTCTTTAAAAGTGTTCAGTTTAATTAAATGAATTAAAGTTTGTCAATCAGTTGGTTTTAGTTTTTAAGTTTCATGTATGTTTCGTTTTTTGTAAATATTACAATCCATATCTCAGCTTTGTTTAAACTGTACCCTCTAATATATTCTAACATGATATACACACCTGCACCGGTGCAGTGGACTTGCGGGGGTCATAGACGCGAACTTTCCCATCTTTGCACACTGTGGCCAGGAGCTTTCCATCCGGACTCCATGCCATGCCAAAGATCTGAATATCATCCACATGAGGGGACAAAAAAGAGGAACATTAAAGAGAATCCTCAGGGGGTTGGAAAAGCTAGAGCTGATATATTCAATCCAATACGTTCAAGAAAGAAACTCAAATCTGCTATGAAAACATCTACAATCTTTGATATTTCAGTTGTTGAGTAAGATGTGGATCTTTGTCACACACCTGGTCCTCGTGTCCGGTGAGGTTGTTGACCTGATCGCCACTCTCCAGGTTCCACAGTCTGACTGTGAGATCGTAGGATGAAGACACCAGGAGCCCGCTGGCCAGAGGGTGGAACTTGATGGAGTAAATCTTCTCTGTGTGGCCTACAAGCAGGGGGTCATAATGGCTGTCAATCAACTTGTATTTCACTTTGTTGATGAAAACTAACTTCATCATGTTGGTCCTGTCCTACCTTGCAAAATGAGGTCGGGCTCAGTCAGCATCTCCGTCAGCCCCCCCTCTGGTACCTGCCACACCCGGATCTTTGCATCATCTCCAGCTAGTAAAGACAGAGAGGCAGATAGATCCACGTTAAATAACACTTACACAATACCATAAACATACAGCTAGAAATACTCCCACCTCCACAGTTCATGTTACCACTTACCCACAGCAAGCTGGTGTGAGTCGAAGGGGTCCCAGGAGAGGTCGACTACATTGACAGAGTTTTGGATGGTGGGCAGGGCCGTGGTTTGAAGTTTACCAGGCTGAGAGCGCTGAGGAGACGTGTCAAATAAGTCACTCACACACAGATCACAGTTTGTCTTATTTTCAAAAGTAACTGAAGCAAAGGGGGAAATTGAGACTTAAAACATGGAGACCAGCTGAAGTTTTTTTTTAAATCAGCATAACATACTCAGTTTATATTTTCTATATTCAGAGGACTTTGGACTTTATTTTTAAAGACTGAATCAATACTGATGACTCTTCTTTATGAGCTAAAAAAGCAAACAAGACCATCAGCTACTAGATTGAATATTTCTATGAAGTAATTTTAAATGTCTGTTACTGCCAAAACAGCCTTCATTTACAATTTCAGTCGAAACTTTATTTTGAAATTATTTTTGGGGAGATCTTTGCCTTGATGAGCTAGGACAGCTGAAGAGAGCCAGGTAACTTTTGTAGGTCAAATAGAGTCATCAGTGATAAATTGAGTCTCTTTTCATCACCAGTTCTCCTCACAGTATGTTTATTTTAACACATTATATTTAGTTTAACGTCAAGCTGCTCTTGTACCTCGAACACAGCGATCTGGCCCCCGGAGATGGCGAGTGGTACGGCCACACGTTCACCGTTGACGCAGAAGCCGTCACACTCGCCTGGTGTGGTCAGGTTGAGGTTTTGCACGTTGGTGATGTGCGTGTCCCGATGCATCACTGCACCCTGGATGTGACGGTACTTGGAGGTCGGCCCTGGATTAGAGATCAGTCTTTGTCACTCTAGAACCATTATTTAAAAATGTCAAATTAAATAGAGGTTTCAGGTGGATGTGTGTTCATACCTAGCATGCTCTGGATGGCCTTGGCACTCTGACTGGGACTGGGACTTGGGAGGAAGCCTGAGGAGAGGCCGGAGGTGGTGGAAGGAGAGCGAGATGGGGCGGCGCTGCTGCTGGGAGTGCTCAGAGGACTGCTGGAGGTGGAGAAGCCGCGTGCTGGATCCTGTGGAGCAGAAGGGTTGGTGTTAACAGATCACAAGGAAATCCTCCTAAAGATGCAGCGGTATCATTCTTCCTGGGGACACTAAACAATCCAAAAAATGTACTACAGATACGTCTCTAACCTCCTTGCTCCCCCCACTGGTCAGCTCCTTCTTGGCAGGCGTCTGTTTTGTTGGTGAAGCTTTCAGTTTGGGCTTTTTGTCTGGGTGGAGGCTGACTTTCTCCACCTGTGAACAGAAAGAGTGAGTTGATAGTATAAAACAGATTTTTAAGGTACAATGTTACCGGATAAACATGTTGAGAGTGCAGTGATGAAAGTTCACCTGCTTGTTCCCTCCCTGCCACCACTCCTCTGCAGACATGGCTGGAGTTGTGCCCACTGTGTCTGGGTAAAGATCGTCATGAAACTCTTGGCCTGAATGCTGGAGATATAAAAATGTGAACGCATGAAAACACACAATAAATAATAGAAAGTTATCTATCTGATGCGCTCTGACATGCCAGTATCTTGTGCATACACACACCTTGCGAGGGACTTGATAGCTGATTGGCACAATGCAGCCGTCTGTCAGCTGAAGCACGCGCATCACTTCACAGGACATGACATCCAATGCCAGCTTGGGTACCATGGCAACCCCTCGTGTTGAGGCGTCTGTCAGACAGTGGCTCACTACAGGAGAAAAAACAAAGAAGAGAAGGATCAGAGCCATGTTGGGAAAGCTGTTATTATATTATATATATAGATTCTAAAACAGACAGATTACAGATGAACAAGATTTACCTTGTGAGAGGAACGGCTCTGAGGAAGAAACTTCAAAGCAATCGACCACAGAGTCTCCCTGTGCAAGAAAAACATTTTCACATTTCATTATCAGCACAGGGGGGAGATAAGACTTTCACTGATGACAGCTGACCTTAAATTGACCTTAAGTCTAAGGACTGTGACGTCAAGGTAGCTGAATTTCTGATATGTGACAAAACAACGCAAAATGTTTGCGAACAATTTAGAACAACCATCATTAATAAACAAGACACTGGTAGTTGTTTAATTGGCATCACTGTTATTTTACTGTTAATAAACCCCACTGAATTTTCTGAACATCTATTTTGGGGCATTTTAGCCTTTATTAGACAGAACAGCTGAAGAGAGACAGGAATGGAAAGGAAATGATTCGAACCCACTGTCGCTGTGAATAAAATGATCAAAAACAGACATTAAATAACAGTCAGTGCAAACATTAAAAGCGCGATTTAAATTGAAATAATTGAGGTGATCATTAAAGTGTCCAACTAGAGGCTGACTCTTGGGACAGCTGTGCAGATGGGAAATGGAAAAAGGAAGATTAAGTCCAAGAGTCACTGTGTGCTAATAATGAGTAGATATTATAACTGTCATTTAATTGTTTGATAGCAGAAAACACAATTTTAACAAAATTAAATATTCAATATGAATTTCCTGTCCATAATGACGGTTATCATACAGTGTTACTAAACCTTTATGCCTGTAAAGTTGATTATTTAACCCTTTACTCTTCAATATTATAAATGAACCTAATCTTACCGTGCCGGCCAGAATCAGCAAACCAGTGTCTTCATCGAAAAGAGGAATCACTGACCTGAAAGCAAAGAAACAAGAGAGGGACAAAAACAGATTAAAATCATACTCTTAAACAGCACAGTGATGGAGTACCCATACTGTTAAAAAATAATTTCATTATACTTCTATGGGTTGAAGTTTAACAAAGAAGCCACTAGATGGAGCTATAGGCTCAATGTCAGAGCAGAACTCATCTGTACAGACAAGCTGCGCTGCTGCTCCCCGACCGATCTGTACTATCTGAAGATCAGGAGAAGAGTTTTTAAAAACTCCATCCAGCTTTGTTGAACATGTTAAACAAACTGAGTCAGACTCAGTTACATTCAGTCATTTATCTTCCTTAGTGCTTTGAACCTGCACAATGAAGCCAAAAATGATTTCTACCAAAGAAAAGCAGCAGAAATCCCATTAGGACTTATCGACAGAAAATAAATGTTCTCAACTGGATCAAGAAAAACAGACGACGATCAAATACAAATGTGAAATGTCTTTAATGCCTAGTCTAATCAGATTTTTCCCCCTGATCAATTGATGTATTGTAGTCAAGAAAAATTAGGAAATTGTGGAAACACCCTTCTGCATTTCCTAAAGCCAAAGGTGGAATGTTACAATGAGGTTTTGTCTGAAATCAGACAGATACTCTGTTTATTATCACTTTGACATTAACAGTAAACGCTCCCATTTGGTAAACCGCAAAAAGAGAATTATGCATTTTTTTCTTGAGAAAAAAACTTCATATAACAACATATTCGCTCTGACCCACACATGGTCACCTGCCTCCTAAGAAGATTGAGGAATTAGCAAAGTGAACAAGCTTTAATACAGAGGGGAAAGTACAGTTGGCTGTCGTAAACAAACCAAACAGGAAATCATGGCTTAGGCAGAACCGGGGCATTCTTGCACAAACACGAGCACGGCTGCCAACTCGCCCTAATTTTCGACCTCCTTCATACTGTGGTCTCTCTCTTCATCAATGAGAGCTGTATGCTGAGGTTTTTTTTTTCCAGACAGGAAAAGAGTTTGAGCGAGTGGTGGCTGATCTAACCACTTCACATCACACACCACCGATAGACCCAGTGAAGTGGAGAGGCCGTTTCAGTGATTGGTTTATGATGATGACCTTGTGCAATGCTACTATTCTAGAAGAACACCACAACATGGACTGAGACTGACGTAATGCTCTCACTATGACAATATAATGACAGACTGAGTTTGGATATCTTGAGGAGCAGCAAAGAGTGACACATGACGGTTTGTGTACAAGTCTTAAGACTGACAGAGGAAGAGAGTGGTACTGTGTGTCAGCAGTGTGTTTGTATGAATGTGTGACACAAGAAGACTTGATCATTCATTCCCTTAAACGTGGCGGCCACGCGTCTGTGGTCACAATAACTCACATTCTTTTCTGGTGTTCACAATGGTTTCAGTCCAGTCCTTTGTGAAAGTAATTTGGCTTTTGGCAGATTTGCAGGAGAATAAAAGAAGGAGAAAAAAACTGAAAGCAATGATGACTGCAAAGGCGAAACAATACTTGATAAACTAACTTAGAAGGAGGCTGGTTGTATGCACATCATGCAGACACTGGGTAATCATACAGGCAGAAAGAAAGAGGAGACAAGCCCACACACACTTACTCAATAGCACAAAAAGTTGAATCACAACATTTTCACCAGAGCTCTTCTTCAGGTGATAGGCGCCCCATGCTCATAATTTAAATCACCAATAGGCTGATAGTGTATCAGTGCTATGTTGATTGTGGTATCCATATTTTGTACATTTTTAATATTTATTTATTTATTTAAATTGTGCACTGTGTGTTCTCTTTTGTTTGCAATCTCTTTGCTGCTGCAACACTGGAAATTTCCCCGTTGTGGGAAGAATAAAGGATTATCTTATCTTATCTTATAAACACTATGAGGGCAGGTGTGAGGTCAAACATTCAGAATGCTGTGAGGTGAATCATATTTATGAAAAAACCTCATTCTGCTATTAAAAAAGTGAACCTGCCAGAGGGAAATGGTCTAGAAGGAACTATTATCAAGTGTATTGAGACATACATAGATATGCAGAAGTATATGAGGAAACAGATAAGTAGTATTTGCACTTTCAATAGAAAGTTTGTGTTTCACAATGCAAGATGAGACGTCAAAAGGTCACAGTTAATGTGTGATTATTTTATATATGAGTTGTTTTAGTCAGCTGTGAATTCTGTTGATTCCATTGTCCAAAGCAGGAATTATCAATGATATATTTACTGTGTAGTGAGGCTAGTGGTGCAAGCTGAGAAAAAGGATTTTCTGTCAGTGTTTACTCTGAGCAATGTATGACTGGGAACATCAGCCTAACGTTTTGATCAAAAGTATTGAACCCATGTTAGCGCTAATCTGTTATCAGAAGGCCTGTTTCCCTGTTTTCCGTTCTCTACTATCACCGTCTGGTTGAAATATTTATTATCTTGCCCATTTGTCTTTGGTGTTATCAACAACATGGTCCTGTATCTCCTCTTCTCTCTATTATACCTCTCTCCCCTCCTCTATCCAAGGCCTGTGAAGCCAGCGAGGGGCGGCCACGCTTCGTTAGGGGCGACTCTGTGTTCCCACGTCGGAGTCAGTCTGCAGGGAGTCGCGAAACACCTTCATTCCCACACCCCTCTGCTGTCCGTCTTCCTCTCTCTCCCTCCCTCCCTCCCTCCCTCACTCTCTCCTCTCCTATTCAACAACACCACAACCTTGCACCCCGCCGTCTCTTTGTGCCTCCAATTCCAGAACTATTTCCCCCAAATTGCCTTCACTTTCTCTGTGACCTTATCTCTGTTTTTCTCACAGCAAACGCACAACAAGTCAAACAGCCACATTACAGGAGTGGAGCTTTATCACTGATAATGACCTCTGTTTACTATCGCTTTCATGCTCCACCTCACCACCAGACCATTTTCCCACACAGAGAACACATACATGCATGCTTCTGCATATTTACACACACAGATGTACAAGCAAATACATGTGCTAATGATGCAGCGTAATGATGTGCATGTATGTGCACATGCATTAATAAGAGCAGTTACAGTTAAGCAGGGGTTAATTGTGGGAGCGAGTGGGCTTGTTGTGCAGATCAGGATCACATGGGGTGATTATGAATGAGAAGATAAACTATTACATGCCTCATTCATGCTCTTAGGAGAGGCTGTAAACAAAAGTGTGTGTGTGTGTGTGTGTGTGTGTGTGTGTGTGTGTGTGTGTGTGTGTGTGTGTGTGTGTGTGTGTGTGTGTGTACTACTGAACCCAGCCTGACACACTGATCAAGACATGAGCCCTTTTCAGTGCTGGGTGTGTGACTCGAGCAGGTTTATCCGCACACGCTCATGCTAATTAGTCATTGAGTCATGTATTGTTTTATGAGCTGGGGTGAAAGAAAAGAAAGACAATTACAACTTTAAAGCTACAAGCAGCACTGAGTGAGCCTTTTGCACATCTACAGTAGTTGTTTGGCAGATTTCTGGTGTGCTGCAGTTAATTTGTCAAACCAGAATTTAATTTGAGTTTTCAACATTGAATGAAGGATTTAATTGTCACACACTGGGTCCACTATCCAGCACTAGGGAATACACACACATGGAAAGAACATTATGTTGCTGAAATGTCAAAGGCAGATCGCTGAGTTTACAATTTGTTAAAATTAAACCCTGTTTGCCACTAGAGCCGTGCTTCCTCTTCCATTAGGTAGTGTCATGTCGAAGATTTAATATTGGAAAGCAGATGTGTTCAGGTCGAGTCTCTTATCAATCATGTGAAATTTAGGGTCAGACTCAACATTGTGTTTAAGAGTTACAAAAACTTCTATTATATGGTTAGCCAGGCCAACGGACAGGCTTCAATATACCGTAGTTTGTCATGTGACACATGCCCACCAAATCTTTTGCATGATGGTAGAATGTGGTACTTAATGCACTGTGTTAAAAAACTTGAAGTGGAGCTATCGAGCCATTTTAACAAATCTCTGGACCTGACACATCCAACCGTCCCTTATCTATATTGACCTGTTGTGCATCACAGGCACCCTAGATAGGTTGTAAGTCTATCACTGGGCTGAGAAAAAGAGATACACAACCATAAACACACACACACACACACACACACACACACACACACACACACACACACACGCTCACTTCTACGGGCAATTTAGAGTAACCAATTAACCTAAGGAGCATGTCTTTGGACTGTGGGAGGCAGTCGGAGTAGCAGCGCGTGGAAGAAGAAAACATGTACGCTCCACACAGAAAGTTTCCCGCTAGGATTGGAACCAGGAGCCCTCTTGCTCTGACAAGTGCTAACCACTGCATATGTGTCACTGTACCTTACAATAATGTACATTTTCATTGAATCTGTTGCATTTGCAAAGATTGACTCCATGTTTAGCAGCTCAAAAATGTTATTCATCAACACCAGAAAAATCCTAAAAAAAACAAAACAAAAGACTTTAAAGTGCTATTAAACTTCTATAATAGATCAAATATCTCCTCCTGGAGTGATTTCACTTCATGAAACAGCAGCCAAGTCTCACACTCTCAGCTCTCTCTGCACCCACTAACATCTCAACACCTTTCTAGCTCTTCTAACACTCAATGCAATAAGCGGCCACAAAATCCCCCTGGCCTCCGTCTGTCACTGGCTCTGTGCTCGTATCAGGAGTTTACACAAAACAGAGAGCGTAGAGAAGACACGCCTCCTCCCTCGTCTGCCATCGCTCTCTCACACAGACCCAAACACACATCAGAAAATGACCTTCTGCCTGTGACAGCAGCCTTCAGCACCAGCAGATATGATGGGTATATTACTGCACTCTGTGCATATCAGTATGAAAGAGTCTGAGTCAGTCCAGGTATATTATGATTATGAGAATGTGTTGTCATCTGATAATGTAAGAGATAGTGTAAATCAGTGGAATAACTGACTAATGGCGGGCCAGACAAATGGTCATGTGGATGACAGACAAACGCAGAAGAATGTGTGTTGCTGT